AATTAAAAAAAAGAAAAAAAATGTATCAATAACCATTCTTGTGGATCAGCATTTTTTTGTGGCCGTGGAGGTTGTGGGTTCAAATATGTAATATATTAGGGGTCGTTTGGTTGGAGTATTCATCGAGCACTGATAAACAAATATTTTTGTTTATTTGAGAGTATAATCGTCTTTTCAAGTGTCATTGCAAGGGTACATGCGTCATTTGCATTAGAAGACCAACTAACTACTGTAGAGCAATATTTGCATGAATGGATGGACAGCTGTCCAAAATCAGTGAACTAACGACCACGGTATTTGAACACATTTATGAAAAGTGTCACCAGATTAACAATCTGGCATTTCAACTTGTATTTGCCGATATTCATCATAGGGTAAAAGAATAAACTGCTCTTATTCCTTTAGATGGTGTTTGTTAGACCTTTTTCTCATTCCCTATACCCTCCTCATTCCCCACAAAGTCTTTCAAGTTCATTCTCCATTCTTATTAGATTTTCCCTTTCACTTTCCTTAGCCACTATTGCACCACCATACCACAACTCTTTTACCCTAACCCCGTCACTGAACCACCCAGCCACATCCCCCGACCCGAGGGCACGGGGAAGGGCGGTTGAGGTTTTGCTAGGGTATGGAAGGAGATCGAAGGTGGTTGGGATGAAGGGGTGGGGTGGTTGGGGGGGGGGGAGGTGCGGACCGTGCAGGGTGGTGGGTGGTTAGGTTTTCATGGTAATTGAAAAAAGTGGGAAAGAGTATAAGTGAATTGGTGGTTGTATATATGGTTGTAAAAGTGGTGGTTGTGATTTATTTATTTAAAACAACATTGTAAATCAAAGTGAGTTACATTTTATTCTTCTCATTCCCTTTGTTTAAGTCATTCTATTTTCCTTATATTAACCAAACGACGCCAAAATGTTTGGAAATAACAAACTTATCTAAATTTTAATATAATTGCCGAACAATAAATATTTAATTTTTCCAATCAAGTATAGTGATATTGGACTAACTTTGGAATGTTTGGGGTTAAAATAGCGTGTTATTGACATTTCGGGTCAAAAATGTTGTTCCAATACCTAACAAATGACCTCGAGCATTGCCTGAACTCAAGTGTACGGGGATAGTGTTGACACCATTAAAACTAGGATATACTTCGTAATTAATTAGCTCAGGCTGTAACTTTCTTACAAACACTGTTATCAGCATACTCTTCGTAATGACTTCTTTCATAGTCATGGGGACAACTGCTTATGATCACGTAGGCGCCTTCATTCAACTTACTAGGTCATATGTCGTTTTTTTTTTACAAATAGGTCTTATGTCGTTATGTGGCACTAGTTTGGTTGTTTTCCTATAAATAGCGTGCCAAGCATAAATCACTATTGAGGTACAATCTCTCTCTCTCTCTCTCAAACACTCCCTCATTTCCTTGCTTATTCTTGTCATTAGTTGCTAACTTTAGCATCGGAGCGGTTATCCTCAAACAACCCCCCGGGTTAACTAATCCACGTTAACTGTGCAAGTACTTAATTGAATTGGACGATAAACCTTTACTGATTCCAGACACAAGTTACAGGAGCTCATTTGGAACAAAAAGTAGTTAATTTTAATTGTCCAACTTTTCGTTGCTAATTTGATCAAATCACTTCACTTGTTGACATACTCCGATACTCCAAACTCAATTCATCCGACCCAATAAACTTTAAGCTAAAACTCTTTTGTTTTCAGAAATTGAACTAACTAATAATTGGTTATTCTGATAGTATGGAACAGATAGTAGAAAAAGAATTCTATGACTAAATAATTTTAAAATAGATTTAGATGACAAAGTTTAGTAAAGTGTATATTAATACGTCATAAAAACTTCGGATTTGTACACACATTAGTAGCGAGAAAACAATAGTTCCAGATTATCAAAATTCTAGAAGTTCATTCATACTCTATACTAATATAAAGACTAATAACACTTTTGTCAAAGTTTCTCAAAATTCTATTGAAATTAAAAGACGCCAATTTAACTTTCATGGATTCTCAATTTCTTGAGTGTAAATGTAGTCCGTGTGATCAACCATAGTGCTGTTTAACATGCAATCTTCACCGTCCATACTAGTGCAACCTTCTTGGTTGATACTTGATTCCTACAAAAATAAAAATAAAATGTGTTCAAAGAAATCACGATGCTATAAAGAACCTTGGTACACACGTACTAGCTTAGCTAGTTAAACTATACACGTCACAATCAATTCAGAGCAGAAAGAGTAATATATAATCGGAACAAATAAACAAGGAAAGCTATAAGTTACTTAAATTGGATGTTTGTGGCTTAATATCTCTAGGAACAAGTCTTGTAGCTTGAACATTTACCAAAGAAGAGAGTAAAAGTAGAGCAAAAATGAACGTTAAGGAGCATTTAGCCATGTCTACCAAAAAAAAAGCAATTAGAGGGAGAAATATAGAAAATAATAAAAAGATGAAGAGGAGAGACATTTTTATGGGAGAGTGGGCAAATAAATAAGAGAAGATTTGCATGGAATATTAAATGAAGAAAATGAGATTGGGTGATTGGTGGGAAATGGAGATTGAAGACTAGAGATTAAATTGATCAATTTAAATGAATCTTGGAATTCTAAAAGCATACAAAAAGTCAAAAGTATCATCACATACCTTACCCACCAAGGTCAATTGATGCTATAATTAATTTCTAATTTTGCTTCCCTAGGAAACATCATCGAGTTACACTTTAACGTTATTAAGGTGAGCTGTTAAATATTTGGGTCTCTTTATTTCTTTCTTCTTTTTAATCATTTTAAATAAAGTAGAATAAGGGTCTGTTTTGATACGTTTATTTTCAGTTCAGCTTTTAGGGTCTGTTCTCTTACGTTGTATTTCAGTTCAGTTCAGTTTAGCTCAATTCAGTTTAATTCAGTTCAGTTCAACTCCTAATTTCCTTCTCTTATAAAATATTCATTTCAGTTCAGTTAAGCTAAATTCAGTTCAGTTCAGTTCAGCTGATTTCAGTCAATGAGAACAGACCCTTAATTTCCTTCTCTTATAAAATATTCATTTCACTTCAATTCAAATGATTTCAATCTATTAGAATAGACCCTAAGTTCAAGTACACTAAATAAAGTTAAGATATACTCCCTTCATCCTTATTGACAGTCATTTTTGGGCAATTTTCACAAGAATTAATAAACATGAATTAGAAGTAGTAAAAGTACATTTCCATAAAAAAAAATAATAAAAAAAAGTAGTAAAAGTACATTGAAAAAGTAAATTTACATTGGGTATGAAAAAAATAAAGAGAAAAAGTAATTAAAGTACATGAGAAAACAAATTTTACATGTTAAATTTGCACAAATATTTTTGCAAATTGGAGAACTAATCCGTTGACCACTAATATCTCTTCTTATATATTTTTTTTTTTTGTTTTTTATTATTATAAGGAACTAATATCTTGAGTTATACTCCATACATTAATAAACTTATACGAGTATAAAAAAAACCTCCATGTTACATTGAGACGAATCTAATCCTATCATATATTTATTTTTCCCTAAAAGAACAAAATCATATCCCACATTACAAAGTAAATGAATGCTTTTGTGAAATTATCTCCTTGATTATCAAGTGACAAAATTGTAAATAAATTTGTTTATCATTTTGAAGATCCAAATACTTGATCCTAGAGGAAATTTGTGTACCAAAGTTTGGCTTGTGGAACTTCAGTTAGGATGATATGTACTCTATATCATTTACATTGTATTATTTTTTTTATTTTTTTTTCTGACATTGTTATTGTTATTGGTTATAAAAAATACTAGTAAAATAGTACCAATCTGATAACGATATAGATTTAAGCCCCCGATCCATGCCCAATTGCCTACCCAATCACCCCAATAGACACTATGATGTTATATGTATCCAATAAAAATTTCCCAGACTCTATAGTAAAGTCTGTTGGAAGTTCTTGATATAAAACAAGAGAGTTGGGAAAAAACAAGAGAGAGAGAAAAACAAATGATAGGGGAAAAGTCCCACATTGATTGAGGGGAATGGTTTTTCCTTGTTTTTATATTGTAGTGTCTTAGCACAACATAGTTGAGTGAGTAGGAGGTATGTGTTACTCCACACTGCCACACACACGCGTGTCGAGCTGGGTCTGGCTCGGATCTTAGGGAATGCGTGGGCGTGAGTCCTTGTTATCTTTTTGGAGAAATTTTATTTCCCTTTCTTTGTTAAACAGAATATTCTTTTTTGTCTGTTGAGATTATTCTTTTCTGACTGTTGGGATTACGGATTAAATCAGTCATTAATCACTTGATTGTAGCTGACTGATTCAATTCCTTGTTTCTTGCTTCTGTTGTTGATTGGCCGAATTAATCTGGTCGCTTTCTTAGCCAGATTCTTCCCTCGTTTTATGCTTCATGTTTCCCTTCTACTGCCTATATATACTCTTTGATTTTCCCAGTCGGAATACACAACACCAATCAGTCTTCTCTTTTCTCTAAAAATGATCTAAATACGAGTTCTTTCTGTTCTGTTTTTAGGCAAGTATTCTGAGTTCCAGTCGGGTTTGTAAGTGCACATAAACTCCGACGCCGTGCTTATCATAGAGGGCGACCGCTTCTAGCCTGCTGCACCGGGAGGTAGCGCGGAATTGTCTTTTAGGTCAGTGGTTCTCCACGACGCGGCTATTGTCAGTTTGGTTCATGCATTAAGAAATAAGTAATTCCTGTTTTATTGCTTAGTAGTAAAGTCTAATACTGAATTTGAGTCATAAACCTTTAGTGTCAAAAAAAATAATCTGGTACTCTAAAAATTTGTAGCATCGGAAATATTTACTTATACCACTAAATTTTCTTATATCTTCTGTAGAAAAAGAAAGAGAGATAGATTAACCCTTTGAGTGTTTCCCAAAAAACAAAAAAAAAAAACAAAAAAAGGCCTGAGTAGAGGCACGAAAAAGATACTGAGTACATAGAGTAGAAGTGAAAAAGTGTAGCTGTGAAACACGTCCAAAACCACAATTTTTCATCAATTTGGAGTTCACTTATCAGCATAGACAAGTCATAACTTTTGCTGGTAATCAGCATACCCTGCTCCGCAACAGATCCACTCATGCACAGACAAGACGCATAAGCATGAACATTTGCGCGGAGATTTCAAAAACATACTTATAGACTTATAGTTTTAACAGGAACAGTAGAAGCTAAACAATCATCAATAGTTTTGCTGCGCAAGATCAAAAGTGACCACCAAAACACATATTCACAATTTGCTAACATCACCAAGATACACAGACACAAGCTTAACACAGCTGAGTGAAAAGCATAACTTCTCATATTTGGTTCGGGTGAAATCCGCAATGACCTTCATTCTAGAGCACTCAAAAACATCATATATCAGCAGTTTGTACAGCACATTCAGCACTCTATGTTGACCTATGTCATTTCACATTCACTTCAAGCATAATGTCGTCATAATTAGTCATTGCACCTAACTATCAGTGTGGCTTGGTCAGAACTAAGCAACTACTTTCATTTTCAGAAACTGCTACAGCTACTCAGACTGATTATCAACTGATGGCGGTGGCAATTGTTCTTGCTCATTGTTTTCTGTAGCATGATCAAGAGATTCTGCAGGTTGGTCTACATGCTCAGGTTGGTCTACGTGCTCACTATTCTCTGGCTGAAAATTGATAGGAAACTTTGTGACTCTTGGCTTATCAGCTAAAATATTCCTCTGAACTCTGTCAATCAAAACCTTCTGAGGTGGCTCTTCCCTCAGCTGCTCATCATCATAATCATTGTTCACATAATATCCTACTCTAATAAATTCCTGCCCCATGTATGAGCATGTCAATAGTAACACTGTGACACCAATTATATCCGCTTCACAAATTTTTGAAGGATCTGGAGGGTCAGCCTAGCACGAGGCACACAGAACATCAGGAGTGATTTAAAATTACAAGTACCCAAAATCAACAGTTACAACGTGGAAGTTTATAGATGACCTGAAGAACAAAGCGAAAGTTTCCAGCATTGACAGGTCCTACAAGAACACTTTCCAAGAGTTGGTCATATGTCTCATCTTCAGCTGATCCTACATAGATTAGTTTCCATTCCAGATCTGTCATAGAAAAATAGAACCCAATCAATCCGTTTAAAATATATATGATGATCAAAAACATCGCAGACCAAGAATTTAAAAATGTATCATCAGCTGACATTAAAGACAAGGATAACAATTATACACGAAATACACAATAGGCATTTGTTACTTCTACAACAAACCTAATCATCCAAAAGCATTGGTCCTACTTTTCAATTCCACATACCTAATTACAAGATAGCAGGCATGTAATTAATTTTATTTGTTTGGACTAAGAGGGTGGTAGTCTGGTAGATACCAGCATTGCAAATGATTTAACGGTCAAGGAACAGCCCACACTCACCCCTAACAATAATTAAAAAAAGGGTGGGTCAATAATAGTTCTATTGAGAAGTTATACTCATGTGAGTAGTTTACAAATATGACTCCTACTGGGTTAGAAAAGGAAGGGAAAGAGCATCTACATATCAGACTTTAAGGTTTCCCCACATATGAGAGCAGACTGTAAGGACAGCAATGTAACCATGAGTCATGACCATTCAAATGCTCTGTTTTTGAATCTTCTGCTGCATTCACAGCCTCAAGAAAAACTAATTTCTATCTAATCCAATAAAAATTTAACATAAAGGCATACCATATATGCATATACACGTTATTGGAACATCTGGACATGGAGACTTGAGCTAAAAGTGGGGTCCAAGTATGGGCATACTACATACAATGATACAAGTACATAATAATTCGAAGAAATTCCAAATTCCAACAAGTGTTACCATGTTTGCAAATACATATACAGATGTTTCAGGTTTACTCTAATCCTAGTAATTCTACCACAAGCCCACACATGACAAGGATATTCACATGACTCTTTTTTCTCTCTTCTTCCCTTCATTCTTCTCTAGACCACATTCCAATTGAAAACTAAAAAGTCAAGTACATCATAAAACCATAGTTCAATCATGTACACAATCAATCACCTTGTTTTCTTCAACTTAGTTCATAGAAAAACAGGCAGAGAATTCCATGTATTTAATGTGATAAAAATCAAGCAGCATACACTCTTTCATACTTCATAATTTAGCAAGATACAAGAAAGTTTGTTCAAGAAAGCTTGATATTTTTAATGTGACAAACAAAATCAATATCAACACAAAATATCCAACAAACTGCTCCAGGAATTTGTCTGCGGAACCATCATTTGAGCAAATGTGCCACTGCATGCTCACATATATGAATGCGTAGATTATGATGCTTGCATATTATATATATATGTGTACATTCTGCTGATTTAAGCCCCCTAACTAGTTACTAGACCCAAAAGCCAAAAGGTGCAACCTCCTAAACTGACTTTCTATCTGGGGGTAGAGCAATAATCACCATGAGCAAGCAGAATGACAATATACATAGCTCAATAACAAGGTACTAATCCATCAAAGTAAAAAATAGGGAGAAACATACCATCTTTAAGTGGAACCAAGCACTCATATGAAATCTCGAATCGAAATGGGCTGAGAAACGGTGCTGGATTATCCAAGATAGCGACATTTGTGATGTTTACCGCACTCATTGCATTTCTCTCAAAGCTGAAGATGCACTGCAACAGTAAGAGCCTCAACACCAAGTTTAAAACCTATGACAAAAGATTTTTCATATTATCATCTGCAGAAAAACAACCATAGAAAGAGAAATGGTGCTATGGTATACTTGGTAGTAGTAAAAAACAAAGCCGGACTAGTTTCAATTTTAAATGTTTCGACTAATTTATCTATACCTACAAGAAATGACAATAGCAAGAAATAATGTAGTTTACAAGAGGTTTTGTTATATACACCCGGGTATACCATACACCCATGAGTATTTGTTCTCAATTTTATGATTGTTTTTCATTTTATCATCAAATGAAGAGCAAAAACTTAGTTAGATGTATGGTGCACCACGTAACAAATTCTAGTAGTTTACTAGCATAGTTTATTGGCAATATATCTTAATTGAGTAATGTTGGGTAATATTGGTAGGTAAAGATAAAATATAACTCCAAAGTTGGAATTCAAGATAAACATTGGTTATGCAAACGGTTAAGGAAATTAGGGAAAACCCTAGATCATTCACTAGTCTTACTTCTTGGTAGGAAATTCCGAAACTAGAATGAAACAACTTGATAATTTATCAATTGGTGTAATCAATAAGAGTATCATGATTCAACACAAAATCAAGGGTTATTCAATAAACAATAATAAAAAAAAGTCCGAAATTCAAATTCAGTCCACAAAAAAACGAGTAAAACAAATGCCAAAAATTTTAACTTTTAAAAACTGAGTCATAAATTCGAAGTTATAAACTTCATTAATTCAAAATTAAGCAAGCAAATTGTAACCCTAATAATCGAATTAAAACCTAAAACGAGAAATTAAACAACAACTGAATAAGCAAGCTTCAGATCGAAGCTAATACAAAAATTAATGGAAGAATAAGATGAAAATAACATCAAATTATAGCATTAAAGTAAGAAAAATGGAGGAATTTAGAAGAATTTGACGATTAATTTACCTGCGAAAGGAGGGAGAATGCAAAAGTAGAGAATTTAGTGAGAGAAAGCGAAATAGAATTGGGGAAATTTGGAGGAGGAGGGAAATAAACGAAGAAAGAGGGAGGGAAATTTAGAGCGGTTTTTTCATACTACCATTATTTGATGGCTTTTTTTCGAGCCCATAGTTGATTATTGGGCTTTTGAAGATTGGACGGGATATGTTTATGAAGATTGGACGCGATATGTTTATTCTATACTCGGATGTATCAAAAGTGGGCAAATTATAAAATGCACCATGGTGCATATAGTTCTATGTGAACCACCAATTAAAATATTATCTCTATTCTCTTTCCTCCTCTACTTTCTTAATTTCTGATTTTTCTCTCTTTTATTTTCTCTCTCCTCTATTTTTCTCTCTATTTTATTTTCTTTCTCTTGAATTCGTTCATCATCCTTTTAATTGAATTCTTTCATATTGTTAATCACCATAGAGTGAATTTCTTCATTACAATAGATTAAATTTAATTTTTTTTTTCTTCAACCTTTGATTTGAAGATTTGTTAATGGAGTTTTACAATGAAGTAGTGAAGCTAAAAATGGCGTCGTCGTTAAATAGAAGGTGGTTAAGACGATGGTGAGATTATTTTTCATGAGATTTCATTATCTAAATCACCATGGCTAGGTTTGAGTTTCGAAATATGTAGTCTTCTAATTTTTTCTAGTGATAATTGTACATTTTGTTATGAACAGTTCTGAATTTGATTATATTTTAGTATTTTGAACATTTTAAGTTAAAAATGTGAACGTATGATACGTTTTCTGTAAACACATAACATGTATTTTTGGAATTTCGAAAATCTTTATTATAATTCTGAACATGCGATAAATTACTTATGAACTTATTTTTGTTTTAAATATATGTATTTTTAATTTTATTAAAAAATTTGGCATTCTCTACTTTATAATTTATAAATCTGAACATTTGGCATTCAGAGCAGTGTTTTCAAGTGTAGAAGTTTTTAAAGGGTGTTTAGTGGTTTGTGGTTGGGGTTCAGAAGTTTTTGGGGGTTCAGAGGTTTTTGAAGGGTGTTCAGTGGTTTGTGATTGTAGTTCAGAAGTTTTTGTAGGGGGTTCAGAGGTTTTTGAAGGGTGTTCAGTGGTTTATGATTGGAGTTCAAAGGTTTTGTAAGGGTTCAGATCAGAAGTTTTTGAAGGGTGTTCAGTGGTTTGTGGTTGGTGTTCAGAAGTTTTGTAGGGAGTTCAAAGATTTTTGTAGGGTGTTCAGTGATTTGTGGTTGGGGTTCAGAAATTTTTGGGGGTTCAAAGGTTTTTGAAGGGTGTTCAATGGTTTGTGATTGGGGTTCAGAAGTTTTTATAGGGGGTTCAGAGGTTTTTGAAGGGTGTTCAGTGTTTTATGGTTGGGGTTCAAAAGTTTTTTTATTAGGGGGTTCAGAGGTTTTTGTAGGGTGTTCAGTGGTTTGTGGTTGTGGTTCAGAAGTTTTTGAGGGGGTTGAGAGGTTTTTGTAGGGTGTTCAGTAGTTTATGGTTTGGGTTCAGAGGTTTTTGTAGGGGTTCAGAAGTTTTTGAAGGGTGTTCAGTGGTTTGTGGTTGGGTTCAAAAGTTTTGTAGGGGGTTCAGAGGTTTTCGTAGGGTGTTAAGTGGTTTGTTATTGGGGTTCAGAAGTTTTTAACAATTGGTTTTTTCTTAGATACATCATCGATTTTTTTTTTTTGGTGTTCTGATGTTGAACATTTGACTAATTGTACAATTTAAACAAATTGCGAACTTAAATAATAAATTACTTATCATCTTTATCCTCTTCGGTAGGAGCAGATAATTTTGATTTTCAACCAAATTTTTTTTTTTTAAAATTTATTTAAGTCAAAAAGATAATTATATAGTAGAATATAGTTTCAATTTTACAATTTGTTGAATTATATTAGCAAATTTATTTAACATAAATGTAGGAATATAAAAAAAGTTAAGTATTGTTTTTTTTTTAAGGTGTTTTCGTGTGTTTTTTGTCTTTTGTCATGGTACATTGCAATTTGTGGAGAGGGAAAAATGGTGAGAGGAGAGAAAAAATAAAAAAAAATTCATTGAGGAAGGTTTTTAATTTATGAGAGGAGAGAGAAATTTTTTAAAATGAAACAAAAATAGATATGACAATTTTTTTTTGAACTTAAATAAAATTGACAGACAGAGAAAGAGGATCTATTATTTAAAAAAAAAAAAAAAAACCACTTCGTGGGCTTCTTTCGTTTGGGCTTCTTGTATTGGGTGTGGATTGGGCCAGGAGCACCTATTTCTTGGTGCACCATGGTGCACTTAATACTAATTGTCAACAATGTTCAAATTGTAAGTTATTGAGTCCTTTAAAAAATAAAAGTTATTGAGTGGGATTTATTGTTAGTAAGTGTGTTGGGATGATTTAAGACGATTTACATTAGATTATTAGGACAGTAGTGTATGGAATATTAGATACACTCGCCCTCTTAATCTCATTGATCATTTCGAAAACAAGTTTAAACTTTGATAAAATGAATGGTAAAAGGTATTCTAAGCCATTTTGTTGACTTTAAAAGGGAAAAATTCATCCATTCTCATTAATTTTTAAAGAATTTGCTCATTTTAAAAATTTATCCTCATAGTTATTTAAGATCCAGTTGTTTGGATTATTCTAGTCAAATTTCTAATTTTTAATAATTAGAAAAAATCTTTATAATTAATGCTTTAAAACTAATATGATCAAATAGATATTTAGTACGGAATATTATCTTTGCCACGGAGTACATTTATTTTTGCATTATGTAAAACTTTACACATCTATACAAGCAGTATATTATCTTGAAACATGTCTAATGATTTACTTTGTACTATTCTTGAATAGGAATTTCAGTGGTGTTGGGGAATTTGTGTATATCAAGGGTCACAAAAATAGCAAACAATTAAACCGGAAAACTTCGAGGCGTGAACGGAATCACTTTCTCAAAAGTATAATTCCGACCCTAAACTACAACCGGGTTTACACGGAAAGTTACTTAGGAGATACAACGAAGAAACAATTGCAATCACAAATAAGATGATTACAATGCAATGTAAGTAAGCCTTAGGAATTATGATGATGATAAATAAAATATTGCAATTGATTTTCTCAAGAAAGAAAAATAAAGAAAATAACTTTTCTTCTTGAAAAGTTTCTGACAACATATGTTCCTTTTGAACATATTTATATTAAAAGCAAAATAACCAACCTCCATGAAGAAACTGTTCAACTTCGATGAAACCAACCGTCATAAATTACAAACAGCCCAGACTCGCGCCCGATCGGGCTGCCACCGCCCGATCGGGCTAATCTGAATGACGATTAATGGTGGTTCTCGCGCCCTATCGGGCGGTGGTAGCCCGATTGGGCAAAATCCAGCGAGAAACTTTCATCGTTCTCGCGCCCGATAGGGCGGTGAAAGCCCGATCGGGCGGCTACCCTGTCTTTTCCTTCACTCCTCACGCGCCCGATCGGGCGGTAACCACCCTGACCGGGCGGCTGATCGGACTCCATGAAAGACAACTACAAAGCTTCTTGAAACCGAGAATTATGTTACTCGTTGCTTCTTTGTACTTTCTTCAAAACATTATTTGCTTTTAATAATCTTTATTAATTAATTCACAACACCTTAGCCTAAGTAAATTAATTAATTCACAACACCTTAGCCTAAGTAAATTAGTCTAAATTCTCAAAATTATTCAACAAGTGGGGCAAGTTAAGTAGGATACTCGCCCCATCTCCGTCCTAGTGGGGTGGGGATGGGTCTTGGTTTGGTGGGTGGTGGAGCGGGGATGGAGATGAAAACCATACCCGCCATGGGTGATGGGGCGGGGGTGGATTTTAGGTTGTACCCGCCCCGCCCCGCCCTACTTCGTACTCGCCCCATTCTCACCTTATACCCACATCTATATATCTTTTAAAACAAAATTTTATACTTTTATACTATTTTATAAAATATTTATGTAAAATATAAAATATTAATTATAATACTTCGTAATACACTTATATTATAAAACAAAAAAAAAAATGTGTAATATTAAGAATGATTTTTTTTAAAAGTAATCTATATTAATTATGTAGGATTGTGTATTTGAAAGGTGGAGATTAGGTGAGTCTTGGGTGGGGATTAGGCGGGTCTTTGGCGGGGATTAGGTGGGGGTGGATATCCAAGTGGGGGTGTGGGGTGGGGATGGTTTTGAAATTGTACCTGCCGGGGCGGGGATGAAGATGAACTTTAATTTAGACCCGCCACGGGTATGGGGATGGGGATGGGGATGGAAATGTTAGGTGGGGATGGGGATGGGAATGCCAACATTCGCCCCGCCCCGCCCAACCCCCATTGACATCCCTATTCTTGAATATTAAGACAACTCCAAATTGAAGACGTACCTACAAATGTAGAATTGTAGATACACTATAGCTTAGACTTAGACGTACCTGTAGATACACTCGAGTTTATAACAATATCAATACAAAAAACCAAAACCCTAATTGGAGTAATGGAACTCTTCACTTGTTTGGGCTTTGTAGACAACTACTCCCTCAATTCCTTTATTTTTTCCCATTGTCCTTTTTTAGTAAATTTTGTAAACTTTGGCAATAATTTACCATCAATTTATAACAGATAATATAATCCTGAGTGATTTTGTTAGATTCGATTTATTGCATATTTTATCAATCACGTTTTTATAATTTTTACGTGTATGAAATGAAAATATACGTGTTCTAAAATACGTCCCAAAGAAGGTAAAAAGTCAAATGAAAAAGAAAAAAATAATAATATAGGGACAGATAGAGTAGTAACTAATTAGAAGTTACTCTTCCATATCACTAATTCACTATCATCAAATTGGCATGAGATGAGAAATTTCGGCATACGCCAAGAACTCAAACAAATCTGTCAAATTAAAAAAGAAAAACAAAGAAATTGCTTCAAACCAAATTGCTAAATCTAAGACAAGTGTCGAATTTCAAACATTCCGGTGTCGAATTTCAATTGCTAATATACAAAGCGGTGTATTTTATCCGCTTTTATTAAATTCTACCTCTTCAAAAATGTCACCTTTCTTCTAATTTCATCTTCTTGGTTGAAAATCTCTGAAAAAAAAGGAAAAAAAAAAAGAGATTGAGAAAAAATGTTGATGGGTTTATTGAGTATTCAATCGATAATGGATATGGCTTTGGCTGGTATTTCATTGATGATTGGTCTTGGTATTTTCGGCTTCATTGCATCTGTTCTTTGTTCTGCTGCCTTTTTTCAGCATGCTAAGCTTGTTTCTGCTTGATTTTCTTAATGCCCATTTTTGGATTCAGGTATGATATTACCCTAATTTGATTAAATATGCTGATTTCTGTTTGTAAGTTTTAAAGGTTGAATCTTTATAATGAATATGAAATTGTCCATGATTTGGAAATTGATTATGATTAGGTGTTAATTTGTCTTTTAATTTTTGAAGTTACTGTGCTTTGACATTGATTTATTGGATCTAATTTGTTATTATTTGAAGTTTATACATTTTCTGTTGGATTTTAGGCGAGTTTTTGTAATGTAATATTTGTATAGTCAAATTAAATCAGTTGAACTTTGATAAATGATGATTTTCAATAATTTCCATAAATCTGCCTCCCCTTTTGCCAATTTTGGCTTTTATATTGTGGTTCTTGTCAATTTTGTTGCTCATTAAACTGGTTGTTCCAAACATGATGCTATGTTGTACACTGTACAGGATTCAATAGACTAAGGTAGTTGACATCCAGTTCATCAAAAGACAATGTATCATTTAACATGCAGTTATCAAGCTTGTTACTGTGAGACCTGGTGGCTAGTGGCCTTAGAATAAAAACATTAAGGTTTGAATTTGTTAGTTATAACTCACAAATGGATGGTGAAAATGATTGGAAACGATGACATATTGTTCTTGGGTTCAAATCCTACAGTCTAGCCTTAGGGTTAGTTATTTCCATGATAAAAGCCAGACCTCTAACTTGCAATGACATTTGTTATGCACATGGTAATGTCCGGAGCTGGCCTGAAACTGAAAGTGCTAGTTGAGAACAAACAGAATTGCAAAGAAATTGCTTTGTGTATTACTTTGGCCAAACTGAGTCACTTGCTCTTTCTTCCCCCATTTCCATCCGCAGCCTGAATTCTATTGACATCTGCTGCAGCAGTTGATGAGTCTGAAATTCTTTACATGATGGATGCAACACTACTCACTAGTTTTGAGAAACCAGCCTGGTGATTTTAACCAGTTGCTTGTCCTATCTTTGCCTGTATAAGCTTTTCCAAATATTGATCACTGGGCCTTGAAGCCTAAGCCAAAGGGGTTTGAGTTGCATCAATGGTAGGCTAATGCATTCAGGATTCACCAATGTCTGATCCATATGAATTTGTGTAAAGCCAAACTCACGAGTCATAACCATGATGGAACTTCTCTAAGAGAAGAAACCTGTTGAAAGGAAATAAAGAAGGCTTATTATGGAAGGAAGAAATTAGGGAGGGAAGGAGAACAAACTACAGAAACGAAGGAAAAAGGGATGAAGGAGTCAAGGCCGGAATATTTCCTAAAAGCTGAACTTTTGGTACTAATATTCCATGATATTGACACATAATGCAAAACCCTGCCAAATATTATTTCAAGGGAGATATAAATAACATCAAGGGAGATATAAATAATGCACTCTGAGACAGCTTAAACATCAAGTATACAGCATTAGGATTAATCAGAGTAATCACCAGATCAGTGACCTTTGTTAGGAGTTAGGATAGTCATTTCCGGATAATCAATAGCTGTATTCTAATAAGGTGATTTTGTGCACTAATTAAATGAAAAAAGGCCGGTGTAATTTTGGCAGTTAAAGTTCAGATAGACGGTAATATTTTACTATCACTAATAGAAAAAAACCACCAGTAATCATCACAAGAATTATAGGGCACTAGCTTCAGGCACCCAGGATCCACTGAGCAATGAGAGCATGAATGTTTTTTATACTTTGGCATCTGTAATTTGTCTAGGTCTTTTTATTGGGTTTTCAGGATCCACTGAGCAATGAGAGCATAAATGTTATTTATACTTTGTCGTGATGAACCAGCAGTAAGAGTGTATGATTGGATTTGCGCAGTAAATCAGTTGGGAAGCTCTAGACATAAGACAGAAAATAAGTTGGGGGGTTAAGGGGATCTATATATATATATATATATATATATGATCATGGATTATGTGAAGAATTGACAATTTTTTTTTTTTTTTTAAAAGCATTGTGTAGTTAGCTTTGCGAGAGTGTCAAGTCTCTCGAATACTTTATATCTATTTTTATTGTACTTAATTTTACTTTATCAATCAAAATCATACTCGTTGAAATGACAAGTATACATTTGTTCAAAAGTTACTAAGATTAGGAGTTAACTTTCAGTTATCTTTACCTATTGCTCTGTTTTTTTTTTTTTTTTTTTTTTTTTTTTTTTTTTGCGGATTTTGAAAATTTTATTACTTTAATCTTACCTTAAATTGATCCCGCAGGGCTGTAGGGTGCATGCTTTCTCTGGAATGACTGGACAAAATTGCGGTTCAATTTGTTTTCATCCGTTTAAAGTTGGGTAGGCTGCTGTTGTAGAATAGTTTCTACTAATTAACAATGTGCGAAATGGTGCATGAAGATATGCATGTCATAGTCAATGCACAATATTAAATGTAAATCGCATCCTCTATGGATGATGTATTGATGCACTCAAGAATTCTCTGTATGCAAGTTTGTGGTGATTTCAGGGTTCAAGTCGAGAATCTGTTGTTATACTGCCCATGTGTTAATGCATTCATGAATATTAGATATACAGTTTTTGCTGAGTTCAGGTTTAAAGTCGAGAATCAGAATCTGCTGGGAAAATGATGTAAGTTATACTGCCTAGTGCCTACCCCCGTCCCCCTCAGTTGCTCCCTCAGACTGGTGTGTGATATCTTCTGCAATATAAGATAGGCTCCCAAAGGCTTGAATGATCCAATAAATGCTAGGATATGGATTGGTGGTCGTACCTCCACAACAGAAGCTTCCCAGGAAGCTAATCGTTTGTCCGTGATGGCGGCTAGGATATGATCATACGTGACCTGAGCAACTTGAACCATATTTCAACGGAAGAACCAAATTGGGTCAATTTGGGGATGATGTTAAGGAAAGCCAACCAATAACTAAAAATATTAGGCAAAGTATAACCAGAAAAGCCAAGTTGAAAGGAAAGTCTGTTTGGAAATACATGGGTCATGGGCATTGGTGTTTTAGTATATTGCATCCGGTTTTTTAGGGAATTGAGGTTAAGATCATGCCAAGGTTTTGTTGGATTTACAGGGACTGGCAAGATTTTCATTTTCCCGGAAGATTCAACTATAGGAATCGTCGATGACCCAACATCACAGCCTAGCCTCAACTGGACTTGGGGAAATATCATGTTGTTATCTCCGTTCGGAGTCTTATGTTACGTATGCTGTTGCATATAGCTACTTAGCTAGTGAGGTATGTCATGTGTATCTTGTCTTAACACTGTCTATCATAGTATCATATACTTTCGTAATTTCGTATACAATAGCATATACCTAGTATGTTTGGGAACAAGCTAGGAGTGGAAAAGAAATTAGGAGCACCTACTGAAGAATTGTTTTTAATATTTTCAACTGTATAATAGATGTACAACTCTGGATAGGAAAGATTACTTGGGGATTGTAAAAAGAAGCGAGGTAAGGAGGACGGAAAAATGTGGCATATATAAGATCATCGACCACCTATGATCTGGTAGGAAAATAAGAAAAACTTGGTACAATCATGTATAACCAATGAACTTAAACTCTGCTAAAATCACACACACCCTAACGCCTACGCCGAGAATATGTGCCACTGGAGCATAGTACAAGTAATTCATGTATCCTTCACTGAGTGGAGCGGGAATTACTTCTTTGTATTGATTATTGGGTTGATCTCCGCTACCATAGACGAAGGCATCCGTCAGATTTCTATTCCCATCGTAATACGCTATGTGTGCCCTCCTAATCATAAACCCCCCTATTTCCGGCTCAGTACCTGGCTCTGCAACACAAATAACTCGCCAATTACTCTTGTCGAACATTGTAGGGATACCAGTATTCTTACGATATCGTATCCGTATGTTATTGATTTCGATCTGAGGTGACACTAATGGCACAAACGTTCTAGTAAGAGTCCTGTAAACTGGAGGCCATTTATCTTGCCGAATACTGTCCATATTAACAAACTCAAATTTTGTAGAAAGTGCGGTGACCTGTATCTTTTGTAGCATTATGTTATAAAATTTGCGAATATAGTGAGTACCATAACCACTCCTCGCAAATGAAAATATCTTGAGCTCATCTTCCAAATCATTCAACTCACCCTGTTTATTTTTCAGTTGCTCCCTATTCTTACGCTTTAACTCGTCGATTTCATCTTGGTTCTTCTTCTTTGTGTCAACCTGTTTGTTACGCTCCTTGGACAACTCCTCCTTATGCTTACGCTTTAACTCATCGATTTCACCTTGTTTCTTATTCATCGCGTCCTCTTGCTTTTTATGCTCCTTTGACAACTCCTCCTTATGCTTACGCTTTAACTCATCGATTTCACCTTGTTTCTTATTCATCGCGTCCTCTTGCTTTTTATGCTCCTTTGACAACTCCTCCTTATGCTTACGCTTTAACTCATCGATTTCACCTTGTTTCTTCTTACTCGCGTCTACTTGCTTTTCATGCTCCTTCGTCAACTTTTCTTTCAATTTCTCAATCTCATCATCTTTTTCCTTTCTCTCATTGATTTCTTCTTGTTTCTCCTTCGTGTCTTCCTGCTTCTTTTTCGACAACTCTTCTTTCAATCTCTCAATCTCGTCATCTTTCCTCTTGAACTCTTCCCTTTTTTCAAGCAAGATTTCCTCTATCTCCTCCTTATGTTCACGCTTCTGGTTCTCCAATTTCATCTCTAACTCTTATTATTTTTTCTCGTCATCACTTGAGTTAACTGGCTTTACGACGTCCAAAGGACGGCCATCCACAAAGTCTCTACGACTCTACGGGCCCATCGAGTGTTGAGCGAAGTATTGACACCGTACTTGGACCAATCGAAGAGATCAAACATCCTATAATACTCCACTTCTAAGGCCGCAGCTGTGACTGTGGCCGTAGCAAGGAAACAAAGTCCCTCGCGATTAACAATCACTCGTGAGTTGAAAACATCTTTGATTAGTGTCTTAAAACAGCGTTTAAATTTTGTTTAGCTGAGTGCTTAAAATCTATTACCTTTTACTTGAAAGGTTATAGATTTACTACTGTTGACGTTATATCATAAATGATCTGCAGGGCTGCAGGACGCCTGCTTTCTCTGGGAATAATTCTGGACTAAAACGTGGCTTAATTTGTTTTCATTCGTGTAATTTGGGTGGGCTGTTGTTGTAGAACAGTTGCTACTAACAATGCAAAATGCTGAATGAACATATGCATGCCATGGTCAATGTTTATACAATACATAATGTAAACTTGCATCCTCTACAGATGTATTGATGCAATCATGAATTCTCTGTATGCAATTTGTGGCAAGTTCAAGGTTAAAGTCGTGAATCTCTCATTATACTGTCTATCTCGATGCACTTGTGAATATTCTATATGCAAATTTTGGTGGGTTCAGGGTTGAAATCAAGGCAAATTCTGTAAATTATACTGCCCATCCTCTCGGTTGCTCCCTCACACTTGTGTGCACATCATATTCCTCTGCAATGTTTTTTTTCACATCAGGACATCTTCTAGTTGCCCAAGAAGCTAGTCATTTGTCTGTGATCATGGCAAGGAACATACATGAGAAAATGTTGAATATTCTTTTGAGGAATCTTAGTGTGGATGACTTGTATAACTCGAATCAAATTCCAACTGTAGAACCAAATTGGGTCAAGGTGCGTAGTGATGTTAAGGAAAGGCAACCAGAAACCAAAAGTAACCATAAGCAAATCATTGCCAGAAAATCTTAAGTTAAATTCAGACGAATCTGTTAAAATAATTAATAGCAGTAGAATCATAACAAGATCGAGAATAACATCCGATTTTTTTTAGTGACTTGAGCTTAATGTTTTGCCAATGCTTTGTTGGATTTACAGGAACTGGCTAGCATTTCATTTCCTTGAAGATTCAACAATAGGAATTTTCGACCCAGCATCACATCTTCTAACTGCTTGGGGAAGTCTCATACATGTTGCGACTTCTGCTCTATGCTGTAGCGTCCTTGAAAGGTATGTCGTGTGTAGTTACTTTCATGTATATCAATTACGTAGTACTCCCTCCGTTTTTAAATACTTGCTCTATTTTTATTTTTTGGACTATTCATTTGTCCTACTTTGACTATTGTTTGTGATTTATACATAAGAAAAAATATAGTCTTGTGGGTACTTGTTGGAATCATCTCAATGAATATATTATTAATTTTAAGTTGTTAGAATTTATACTTATTGATAATTAAAGATATTAGTGATCAAAGATTAACATCGGCATACGTGTCCAAGAGAAATGGAGCAAGTATTTAAAAACAGAGGGAGTACTACATAAAAAATTTTCTTTTAAAAAAAGTATTGTTATATCAACTCTATAATACAATTCTGTATAGGACAGATTAACTTAATTGACATTTTTTTTTATAAATAAGTATATACTGTATAATCAATGTATTATAGGGACTTGGGGATTTAAATTACAATAAAGTATACATATTTATAGATTGGAGCACAGCACACCTAGGTGTATAAATAGGAATACATTTTCTTGGGTATTCAACACTTTCCAATTTAGTTGGCATTTTGACATATATAAAGTATAAACACGCTGCACATTATTGGCGTAGTAACACTTGATTTTATTCCTTCCAACCAATATACTACGCCGAATTATAAAAAAAAAAAACTTATTATTATTACATGTTGAAAGCACACATGCTTTGACCTTTATCTTATTCACTTATTGCCCATTGCAAAATAGGACATGGAGACGGAAAGATAACCTTTTGGTCATAGGAATTTGCAAAATAGGATTCTGCGAAATAGTCTTCACTACTGCCTTCGTAGTAAGCCATAGTCCATCTTGTAGGTCTATATTCTAAATCTGTATCGCTTAATGTGGGGACTGCGACCTCCATAACTCTCCAATTTTTGCAGTCAAAATATATGTATTCATGATCGCTTGATGAACACAGAAGTGTTATTTGTGGAAGTGCTGAAAACTTATTTGGCTCGATTGAATTCAAAGGTATAACCATGTCAGGAGCCCCGGAAGGGGGCCAGTTCATACGCTCATAATCCAAGTTGACACTTATTGTCACTGGAGGTATGCTAATCCACATTTTCTCTGCCATTTTGGAAAAAAACTCTGAAGTATTGCTTAATCCACTCTTCTTAAATACATATAGTTCAAGTTCCTCCTCGAAATTTTGTGCCTCCTCATCCCTCTTGTTCTTGTAATCTTCCCAATGCTGCAACTGAATTTCTTCACTCATCTTCAACTCTTCCTGATTTTTGAACTCTGCCTCCTCTAACTCGTCTCTATGCACTTGCTTCATGTTCTCAATCTCCTCTCGTTTTCTTTTCGATTCCTCCTCTATGTTACACTTTGCCTGCCTTAACTCCTCTTTCAATTTCTCTATCTCATCTTGTTTCCCCCTCAACATCTCATCCTTTTTACCCTCCACCATCTCTAGCTCCGCTTCATGCTTACCCTTCTCCTCTTCCCATTCCCTCTCTTTCTCCACTAGTTTAATCTTGTACTCATTTTCATCTCGGTTGCCATCCCTCCAAAATTCTATGTCATCTTGTTTCTTCATCAACTCTTGCCGCCTTCTGCGCTCCACCTTGTTCACCTCCTATTGATACATACACTTCAATTTTTCTATCTCCTCAACTTTCTCAATCAATTCTTCACCCTTTCTTTGCTCCAAGGCATCTAATTCCTCCTTATTCGCACGCTTCAACACAACTATCTCATCATCTTTCATCTTCAACTCTTCTTGTTTTCTAATCTCAATTTCTTCCAATACCTCTTCATGTTCTCTCTTCATTTTCTCCATCTCCTCTTGCTTGTCCTTCAATTCCTCCTCTCTTTTACCTTCAACAACCTCAAACTCCGCTTTCATTCTATCAATCTCCATTCTTTTCTTCCTCAATTCCACCTCTTTTTGGTACTCCACCTCATCCACCCGCGCTTCATATTTTTTCTTCTCCTCCCCCCATTCCTTCTCCTTCTCCCCCAACTCCACCTTATACTCGCCGTCATCACCACTGCCATCCCCTTTCATCGATTCTACTATATCCAAGGGACGGCCATACACGATATCTCTTCGATCCCATCTAGTTGTCAGCGATGTTTTCACCCCATACTTGGACCAATCATAGAGATCATACATCCGGTAGTACTCCAATTCCATCTCTAGAGCCGCGGCTGCTTTAGTTGGTAAGAAACAAAGCCCCTCGCGATTAACCATTAGCCCGGAGTTGTAAAGATCATTGGTTAGTTCCTTCAAATGATCACCCCAAATCTCTTTGTCCCCAATCTTCAACGCTTCGTATTTGTTCCCGGGCCTTATATTGAGATCAGAATAGTTCCAATGCTTACTTTTCACCGGCAACATGTAAAGACCATCCAACTCATACACTTGTATCCCGTCGCCTGTGTCATAACATCCGACAAAAAACTTGTCTGACTGCATTGTGTAAGCTGCCATTTTCAATAGAAACCAGAAACTATAGCAACAATAAGAAGGGAGAAGTTATAGATTAAAGGTAGTGGTCTA